GATTAAAAAGCAGGTTCGAATGCCGTGCGAAAGACTATCACGCCGCCCTCCATCCGCGCGCGTAGGACTGCACTGGAAGAAATTGCGCTGTGGTCAATCTAACAAATGGCGACAAAACGTCAATTTGTTAAGTTCCAGTCTGGTTGTATTCGGTCCCGTATGTCCTCCGGGCTGGTGAGTTCAAGATGAAGAACGTCGCTTGCTAGAAACCTTTGATGAGGGCGTGGAATATGAGGCGATGAAAAATTTGTATGAATTTATGTTTCCTTTTAAATGAACACAGCCATAATCACTGAACCAAGAAAAAATCAGTGAAGAAACAAAACATAGATAAACTTTTTTCCCGTTGTCCTGGTTGCGATTTTTATATTTATTACGCATGTCCATTCCACGGTTTTTGCAAACTCTATAAGTATTTAGACTAGAGCTTCTTAACCTAGATAAAAAAGTATTTTTCTTTATATGTTTTGTTCAGTTCTGTTATGCTGCCGCATATCCTATGTCACTGTTGCACATGTATGTTCTTTCGAATTCTCTGTTGGTTGCTTGATTGAATTCTCTGGTGTGGCTGCGCTTGATAAGAATTTTGACAAGGTGCCTACCTGTCTAACAACTTCTACCTCGATTACTGGTTCCCGGAGGCTGTGAACCATTGCTGGAGTGGGGACAGGGTGTACGGCCTTGTGTCCATGCTAGTCTCAAAGAGTGGATCCATCCATTGTGGATCGGACTAAAGCCCAGCCACCGCCTTGTCTACATCTGGTACGCATGATTCCCTACATAGATGAACAGGAATGCTGCTGCTGTGCATTTTAAAGGAGTGGGGGCCGACTCCGCTGAAGCAACGTGGCTCCCATCCACATGCCTCCCGGTCTTATTTCTTCTAATTTACACTAGAGATGGGTGTGTGGATGAAGCTGTGGACAGTGGTACGCAATTCACCCATGGTCTCTCTGTAGGCTCATCCTTTCTGTGGCTGTCCTATGGAGGTCCCCGTGATCGGCAAATCCAATATCGGATGTCGCCTACCAAGTTGCAAACGTGGTACTTCCACTACACACGAGCTATCCTCCCTAGAAAACCTTTATCAAATGCCGAAATTCGGTGCAAGCCATGTACACAGGTCGGTCAGAACTCACTTTAGTACGGGACCACTTCCACACAGGTTTTGCAGACCCTGCCCGTCACCGAGAGTGAAACGTCACGACGACGCCACTGCTGTACCGGATCAACGAAAGCTGACCGGGCTTTGGCAATATGAAAATAAATTTCTTTACCAACGTTGCCGTCAGAGAAAATACAGCTCCCAAGGTACATGATGTTATCTACTTGTTCTAGGTACACGACTTCGAAAATCAGCACGAAGTCAGGTGGATGCCAATACTGAAGTAGGATCTTGCATTTCGATGGGGCAAGTGTCATGCCATACTTGGTAGTTTCAAACACCAAGCTGCTAAGAATAGCCTGCATCATCTGTGGGTCGTGACCAAGCTAGGTAACATCAGCAGCATAGTCCAAGACATTCTGTCGGTTGCCTGGAAGATGCTCTATGCCAGAACCCATGGGATCTTCCAGCGCGCTTTACAAGACATTTTCAATCGCAAAGTTGAAGAGTAATAGGGACATGTAGTATCCCGGCGCACACCGCTAGTGCTGACGAAAAGTGAAGAGAACTGACCATAAGCTCTCATACTGCCAGGGACGTTATTGTATAAAGCGCGAAGTATGGCGGTATACTTTTCCGGTAACTAATTCCCATACTGACAAAGCCATAAAGCAGGCCGATCCACCGATTCGGACGAAGCTTGGATGTCCAAAAAGGCGACAATAGTAGGCTGGCGATAAAGGTGATGCGGACTGAGGAGTTGGCGTTGTGTAAACATTTGGTCCACACCCCTCGACCGGGGCGGAAACCAACCTGTTTCTCACCAGAGGGTAGTTCTCGAATCGATGTCAGTAACTTGGAGAATACAGGGAATGGACTGGTTACTCTGTGGTTGGCGCATGAGATATGAGTGCCCTTTTGAAGATGGATACGAATATCCACTCGCTCCTTTTCTTTACATCAGATCTTCGAGAACAGAGCTGATAACTGGTCGACAAGCGCCTCGTCACCGTACTTGAACAGCTCCGGAGGAAGTCTCCTATCGCTGTAAGTAACGAAGCTCAAGACAGACTTCCACTTCGGTGGGTGGTTCCAGTGAAAGCTTTCAAAGTTCGCAACTTGGCCTGCTTGTTTGACAAGGGGAAAGGAGGCCAACTGAACTAAGAGTGGAAGTGCTCAGCCCAGCGGTCCATGCGCCTACGCAAACTGATGAATAGTGATCCATTGACATGGCGACTAGCTTCACTGACGTCAAATCTTCTGTAACCAGTGGTTCGAGTGATTTGGAAAGACGAGAAAATTTTCGGAGAGAGCTGCTGTCTCTATCTTTGAAGCGCGCTGAGGCCACGGACTTTCGCAATCGTTACGCAGACACTGTTTGAGCTGTTGGCTGAGGTTGCAACGGACTTCCTCGCAATTCTAATCAGCTGGGGTAGCTCGGCTACTATCTAACAATTTCAAAGAGCGGTCAGAGATCCAGCCTTACATAGGACACCCAACGATTCTGCAGTATCATTGACCGGTAAAAAGCGGTGCCTCACGCAACAAATGCCAGTTATGTTTGACATCTGTAGGTAGGGCATGAGCAAGCGCATCTGAAAATGAGGATTGATAGGCCAGTTGAATGGAGGGGCTAGATAACCTATTTATGTTCAGCATGTCATTTTTGGGTTCGAGGAACCAAGCAAGCTTATTTGGATGTCCCCACAGACCAGCGCATGATCTGAGTCGCAGTAGCTTGACCAAATTGATCTGCAATCCCGTACACTGTGTCGCCATCTGAACCTGATTGCAACATGATCAATTGGTGATCACGCCTGTATTGGCGAAGGGGGAAGCTAAGTGGCGGTGCTTCCCCTCGAATACCTGAAGTTCGTGCTAGCGAGCAAAACCCGGTTGTCCTCACATAACGTGATAAGCCACTCTCCCTTATCAGAGCTATTCTCCAACAAGAAGACATTCGTATGGTAGCAGGCGACAGACCACTGGATTGAAGTCTCCGGTAAACATGATGATATCAGCTTTTCCAGCTTTACTCAAAAGTGGATGAAGTCCGCACTAGAAGTCGACTTTAACCCATGAACAGCTGCAGTCGGTTGATGCGTAAGCTGAGACCACAAACAAAATATGCCTCTGTGTACGATAACCCTGAATGAGATCGGTTAATGCTTGTATCTCCGGGCCGATGATGAACGAAGTTGATAGAATTGTCCCCAAGAATTCGGGGTTGTGATTTTTCAAGCATCCAACATTTGGCTAGGAAAAATTATACTACCATGTAACATTGACCAGCGTCTTTTCTGATGAACGCAATCAGTTACTTGAACAGTTTCTTCAAGAATCCATAGAAAACTTTCCCAACTTTAGCAAGCGTTTCAGTGATGGTGATAATTTTATCATCAACGTGTGCGGTCTCTTCTACAACGCGATGCCTGGAAGGAGTCTTGTTATAAAGCGTGACCGATGTATGAGTGGCAAGCATTCCAAAGAAATTTTTACAGTTATGCTATGAGCTAGCTCAAGCCGGGAAAAACTAAGCTTTCGGTCATTTGTAAGTCAGCTAGAGCATGGGTATTCAAAAATCTGCGTCTTGGAAACCTTCCAGTTACCTAGAAATCAAACTAATCTTTATGGATGGTTGCTACCATACTTGACGAGTGTATAAAAAAATCAACTGATATATGATGAAGAAACAGTTCCTACCACTTGCAGCGCCTACCTATCGTAGTCGTATCTATACAGATAATCTCACGGAGATTATATTAAATTTCTGCCTCCAAATATAATCTAAAAGCAACTCATGAACCAACGAATCAGCAAAATATTCAAAACACATCACCGTGCCCAGCTTACACAGTAGGTTAAAGTAAAAATGATTCCAGATGATATGTATGCAGCAAGAACTCCATCTACTTCTCTGGATGGTGGGTTTTGGATAGGTTCCGCTTGGCACTAACTTAAGCCAAAACAATCCAGAAGTGCTTCAATTAGCTGGATTCGTTCAAACTTAGGGTAGGACCTTCCATCTTCCAGTACAGATTTTTAGGGAATAGATTTTCAAATTTTTGAAATGAATCATGGTATGGCAATCCGCACAGAACCGGGCACAGATGCTAGTTTTCGTAAAGATACTGACTGCGGAACATCCCTACGGGAACTAAACAAGAAGCACCCGATGATGAGGAAGAACTAAGCGCAAATGACATGGGAAGCACAGAAACCCCGAAACAGACTGATGCCACTGAAACCATTTAGTGTGGAAAGATGTCCAATCATGCTGGGTACTGTAGTTTGCGCTGAGAACATTTGTGGTAAGACAAAGAAATAAAGATTGACTTTTTCCTTAAACAAATGGTTTAACGTGCGAAATGCACATTGCGATTTGCTTTATCGCAACACTATGGTTGAACTGCGTTGGCCATTACGCGAGACCTCGTCTAATGGGGTTCGAAACGAGTTTATGTGAAACTAAGTTTCATACTATACTACTCACAACGGGAAAGTAGGTTACGCTAACTTTCGGCTTTGAACCTCCATACGTTGACCACCTATCTGTGGTGACAACGTTGCTCCAGTCCCTTGGGTGGTCAACTTACGGAAGTGCTGTTGTATCTAAATAAATGAGTGATTCGTTACAAGTATTTGGGAATAAGACTTGGGCCGAAACAAACCCCACCGTCGAAATCATACCAATTCGCCGCATTCTTCTGATTATCAAAAGGTTGTAACGTCTTCGCACTAATAGTATATTAGTGAAAATTTTGAAAATCGTTGGCGTATATCGTAACTTGATATCTACATATCAACATAAAAAGTAAAATAATTGCCCAATGAAATTTACCTAAAGTGCACATGCATGTCAAACACATTATTTCTTTCGTCATTGTAGGAGAAGATCGCGGAGAAGCAGATTGAATGGTTATTCACCATACAAATCCCGTGGAACATCAGCGTGATTGCGGAGCAAGCGAAAAAGCTGGAACAGGAGGCCCTCGACGTAAGTCATTCGCATGACGTCCAAGCATGTTGCATTATTCTTGTGGTATGAGCCAAGAGGTTGTTCTCACTCTAAGCTTGCCCTCTTCTGAGAGGTACCACCAGCTGTGATGTTTGCAATTAGGACTTATGAAATATCTTCGCTTTATTTTTTGTCTGAGTTGTCATTGCATTGTCATTGATCTGCATTTGACCGAGTTGCCGTATCTGATTTCCCGAGGACATCAAAAGAGAGTAACAACAGTTAGTGCAATGCAAACGGCTGAATAATCTGTCGGAAGAATATTGACCACATAACGAAAGGTGTATATGAATCAACTATTAATCCATTAACCCTGGCGGAGGATCATAAAGCTTTAAAGGGGTTGTGCACCATCATTAGTGCTACTGTGCCGGGAGGAAGCAGTATGTTTTACACGAACAAAGAAGAGACCGACACTAATGGTGGAGGTGTACCAGGAAGAAAAGCCCGGCATCCCTTGATGAAGGTTGCGAGGAAAAGCTTACGACACAACTTTCTGAAAATAGTTAATGGCTACGTTTTCTGAAAACATTGGTGACACTGTGGGTCTGCTGGTACGCCAAATGGAAGCTAAGTTTCAACCTACCGAGACGAACAAGACGGTGGGTTGACGACCCCATTATGCCTTAAACGTTACCACGTAGAACTTTGAGATAACGCTTCGCTGCCCCTTTCCAAGACCCTTTCCATCTTTACCAAGACCGAACATGCTGAGCGGGACAATTGTTCATTTTCGTAGAAAAACCACGATCAAACTGCACTTCGCAGTAATCATGGCTTTTACTTTCTACGAAAATTACACTACTCCCAAATGCCACTAGTAATCTAAATTGTTTGGTTATTCTCCGAGGTTGGCGGTCTTGTTGCCAACGTTTCACCACCATTCGACGTGACTTCTTCAATGCAGTGAGATGCAGCGTCTATACCGAAACATGCTGAGTGGGAGGACCAATCAGCATAGATCAGCACTAAAGCACCTTGTGAATCAACCTTCTCATCGTGTTTAACGTAAACGCCTTAGCAACTACTACGCATCCGCATCAGAACTTCCGGTTCCGCGACAATCCATCTACAGGTCTCTAACTTGGCCTATTGCAGGCAGTTCCACTTGCTTTCTGGTCCGTCTTCATAATTGTAAGCATTTGCCGTTCGCTATTTCTCGTAGCCTTCCTCGAGTGATGCTTCCGCTTATCGTCCTGAGAAACCAACTACAGTTCCTTGGTATTTACTTTGTGTTGAGCTGTTGTAATGTTGCGTAATTGGCCAGTTCTTGCTCGATTCGTCTAGCTTCCCCTTCATTGCATTTTGCTGTAAAACCGGTCATCCACCCCTGAACTTTACCGCATAAGTCACACTATCACAAGCGAGCCGTAGTGGAAGTTGCATTACGTGACATGGAATTCGACACAGCTGGACTCAGTCGTTGGACATGCTTTTATATGGGCTAGTCCATCGGGAGGTTTGTCGCACACCTCCACAACTCATCTAGACGTATGCTGACATGGCATCAAGCAGATTAGGCATCATCGATTTTACCATTCTTTCGGGCTTTCTTGTTTGTTCACAACTTGGTTACTTAAGCCAATCAACCCATTCAATATTCATTGTTTTTAGTGGATTTGATAGCTTGGTTCACCTGCTTTGGTGCTATCGGCCACAAAGTTTATAATCAACAGTTCAGAATGCACTAGCTTCTCTGCTTTTTATAGGTCTAAAACGTTTTAAATATGCAGTAGTTGGTCTTTTCATGATCCGTTTTGCGTGGGAAAATTTTCTGCCTGCATGCTTCAGACCATCATCTCAAAAGCTCGACCCAGTCGTCCTATCACAATAGGTGAGGTGCATAGACTTTAACGGGTTCAGCATGTAGCTATCCGGCTCATCGCCGATTTACGGAGTATGTCGTACGATGACCGATGTAGGAGGCTAGAGCTGTATGCTCTTTCAAATTGTCGGCTTCGAGTTAATCTCATAAGGATGCACCGCATATTGTACCTGAATCACTTCTCTATATTGAGGCCACTGCTGCCCGTTCGCGCACCAAACAGCACATGTGGACACCAGTACAAACTAATGGTACCGGATTTAAAGCGTATCGCTCACTATCTGTGCTTCGAGCGTCGTTTGGTGAAATATTGGAATAAGTTGCCTGGGACGCTAGTCCAGGCGAAATCGGTGTCGGAATTCAAGAGATTCCTTGACGCCCATTTTGCGAACTACAGGTATAGGGACAGTATCGCACCCGAATAAGGCGTAATGCAGCTGCAATATGCTGCCACCTCGCAGGAATCAACGACGTGATTCCGCGCATGTACCCGATCCACCTACGGTGTAATAACACAGATTTTTATCTCTTCGCTCTCTATTCTCAGTATTCAGTATAAATAAGATAAGAAAACAGCAATAACACTGAAAGGCTTAATCTAAGTTCGTGTTTCGTGACAGTGCTGGTGGTTATCGTATCGGTCTGGGTGCTAAATGTGTACATGAGTTTGGAGAGACAAGTTGATTTTCAAGTTATTAATGGGCATGACAATTTCCAAGCAGTTTTAAATCAATCGAACAGTTCTAGACATCATAGAAGCAGAGAAATAGTTTTTCTCAATGCGCTGAAAATTAGTGGTTTATTGGATGGAATTCCATTTAAAAGATAGATCCAACGGAATTCCAACCAAGTGGTTCGCGATACTATTTGACGTAGTACCTGCATGAAGGTTTAGCATGTAAACTGCGGTGCCTCTTCAACCCCGTGTACATGAAAGGAGGATGAACAAGTATTGGTTAAAGGTGAGTGGAGGAATTGCTTATTGGTGGCAAAGAAAACACGATTAGGAGGAATAAGATCGCGTAGGTTAAACTTTGGTTTTGAGACAACAAGGAGATATGGCAACTTCCACGAGTATCCAGAATCCCTTACATAGAAGAATAAGTGGATAAGTGTTGAGAAGACAACTGAAAACGCTTTTGATGTCTCATCGGATTGTATTGGTGGTTCTCAGAGAGTAGTGAACTCGCTGAAAGCTGGATACCAAAGTGTCGTAGGTTCCGGTTTAGTTGCGGTGGTTAAACTGGGGAAAGGACAATTTCAGTTTCATGGTCCTCATGATCTAGATCATTGTTAGTGGGACAGGTAGGTCTTATGACTTTAAGGCACGATAAAATATACATCAGCTGTACGCCAGCACAGGGTATCGACACTCCGCTACCACACGACCACCGGAAATCGCGCGTGGGCTGAGTGTATCACGCGATCGCTATCATCTACGCGGATAAAACTAAAAATTTGCAGGAAACTGTTGCGTTGGAAACCCTTATCAAAGTTTAGATTATTTTGTTTGGCTGAATGAACTAACTTTTCAAATATATGCTTTTAGGATGCCAGAAGAATAGCTGCCGAAGAGGCCAGAAAAGCTGCCCAAGAACGTATTCGTATTAAAGCCGCTACTGATGTGGCCACGAAAAGGACTACCGACAAGATTCGCAGTGATACATCTGCTAGCATAGTGCAAGATGTGGTGGAGAACTCAGTAGATCTGGCGGTGAGGAAAGAGGAGGCTGCTGAACGGGCCAAAATATTGGCAGAGCAACGCGCAAGGCAAAGAGCACTGGAAGAGGAAGAACAAGCCGAATTGAAAGAGGAATCCGAAGACGCTGTGGATGCAAACGAAGAGGAAGAAGAAGAGGGTTGAAAATCGATTTGATTCCGTTGATGTAGTACATACAGTTATCACTGTAGCGAACAATCTTTTCACTTGGTGGTTCTAGAGTCAAGGGATGGGAAGATCATTCCGAGTTGAATAGGACACGTATACATATTTTGAGCGCATCACACACAAGGATGGCGTAAGACGTAGAGTTTTTCTTGACACAGCTGATCCCTTGATTGTCCCGGTAGTGCTATATGCAAGTGGACCAAGAATCTGAGGTATAACGGTGTCGCTAGGGAGACCACCTTTTGTTATCCATCACATGTGCGTAAAGCTAGAAAGTTTCGTACGAACCATCCGACAGCCTGGCGCAAATTAACATGCAAACGCACGATTACTCAAATTTATAGGCAAGCTTGTAGCGCGAAATGAGAAGTAATATCTAACTAGGACTGTCATATATGGTGCAGCATATGATGTCGAACATGAGGCGGATCTGAGGAATCTGGTTGTCTGCTAACGCGTTCGGTTTTACACAAAATCAAAAGTTTTAAAAGCAAAAAGCAGAGCAAAACGGAACATATAGGGTTTGAAAATCAATCGTATTATCTTTTTACGTGGTCTATAACTGGCATCGCCCAGCAATTTGTCAGTGCTTACATGTCTTTCTTCTATGTTTAATGCGTATCCAGTAGCGTTGACTCCAGTAATATCGAGGAAGGACAGCTTGGTGAATTGGCAGGTATAGGAACATGGAAATAGGCGTTTGTAAACCCTGCTGAATTGCATTATTCCGACGACCGTTGGCACCTCGTTATCCTGTGAGATGGACATTCAGAGTTTGTATAAATTGGCGGCCTGAGGTAGACAACAATCACAGAGCAGGATAACCCATCAGGTTATAGTGCCATTGGCATTGCGCAAGCGGTTCCAAGCGGACTAGCAGTGTTTGCACTAGGTTATAATTAAACGAAATGGCTGCTAAACTTTAAGCGAATCTATCGACAACGACTAACTATGGTCACCATTAGGAATGGTTGTGGGCTTGTTGAATATCCGTCAACGGCATCACCAAACTGAGACCACAACGTGTTACATTGACGTGACGAAATGGATTTGTGCGTATTCGTTTCCGCAATCAAAGTGAAAAAGCTATGGAGCAGCTGGATGTAGTAAAATCACAAAAGTAGACTCGAATAGCAGTGAGGAATGTCAGGTCCATACAATACAAAACGCATACGTTCCATCAATCGATTGCTATAAAATCTGGTGGAGCAACTCCAGGTTGATTAGGATGCGATAAATGACGTGAACCTATGCGAACTGTATCAACAGACACCTGTTGAATCCAGTGCACCCACATGCGCTGTTGTGTTCAACCCTGAGTGTACTGATATAAATCGGCGCGAACAGTCATGGGGGAGGCAAAATTGCCGAGGTTTATCACCCCTTCGAGGAGGTCGCAAAACGTACGCGATTTCCGACCAAATCTGGCTTCACCTCTCGACGGTGTACAGTGCGCTTAGAGAGCGACTTTAACATGGCGTCTACCGGTCATCATCCCAAGTCGTTATACTTAAACATAGGCTTTACTTGATAGCCCAAAATTTTGACCGTAGCACACATCTTTTCGAACAGCATACCATCGCGTTATTCAAAGAAATTGGTCGTTCGCAACGAGGCCATTTAATAGGGATGGCGTCAGCTTATGCCAGTGAAGTAAAAATAATAACATTGAGGTCTCTATACCCGAAGAAAAGGCCAAGGTAGACCGAGAGGATTGCACATTACACGAAACTGTCTGTCATTGAAGCATTTAGAAATGACTCGATACCAGGATGATTTTACAATGGGAATCATTGGGTACCTGTTTAGTCCTAGTTCTCTCAAACTCATACCCCGGTCGTTTGTATTGTCCTCCAGAAGTGGCATAATTGTTACATCAAGCATACATTGGTTCACTCTATTAGACGAAGTAGTTTGTGTCCAAAGCGAAATACTGCCGACCAGACATACTGGCCGATGTCACATCAATTGCACTTTTGCTGCATAGATATGGGAGTTCACACGACAGTATCAGATTTTGCGGAATTCGTCCCTTGAGCTCACCAAGACCGCTGCGCTAACACTTATCAGGGGTGTACACAGCAGGAGATGTTGGACTATTCCTCTAGTGTGAATTTTTGCCCGCGGAGTTGCTTATGGAGCTGTGTAACCTCCAGGGAAATCGCACGGATTGTGTTGCCGGCTATGCAAACCAAATGCCTCCGAAAGACCATCCAACTACGAAAACATATTAGCATCACCAGGGAGGACCGCATGCATGTTTTCAACACCTGTCCACTCATTGTCATTTCCTAGAGAAGTACCGACTACTTACTGCGGACAGATGGAGGTCCTGCGAAACGCTGTTGTTAGCAAAGATAATCACAGACAGGCTTGGTATATGGTGTTTGGTTAAAGATCCACCGAAATCACTGTTGGAGTCAAAGCGCCTATGTCGGAATAATTAACTTAGAATGGCAAACACTGATTTCTCAGCGCAGAATGCATTGCATACCACACATCTGAAGGTGGTCTCGGAACAGGAATGTGACGACCTAGATGAGAATTATGAAAGAAATCGTCTAAGACTGAGCCGGATAAGCACAAGGTCTTCCGGGATAGGGTTCAGTGCCATTCAGTTAAACATCTGTGACCCGGACACCCAAGTGTAGTGGATCCTGTTGCTACCACTCACGTCGCCTGCATAAGAACAAGTACCGACGACGAGAAAATGAGACTGAAAGCAAATAGAATTTGAAGAAGACGGAAGCAGGACAGATAGGCACAAAACTAACCTGGATGGCACAGAAGTTAACCGTTAGAAGCGACAATCCGAATGCAGCAACGCCACTGACTTCGCGACTGCACCATGTCTGATGCGGTATACAACCATTAGTTTTGGCCAACCCGTGGCACGCAGCAGTCTGACTAAATCTCCCAGTTTATTTCTGCAGGCTTCTATGCCACGTCATCGACTGGCCACCTTTTAGCTTCCCCCTAATTGGTGCAGTCACGGCGTATAATGCATACCGAGGGAGTCTGTCAATGGGTATGCGGCATGCATAGCCTAGCCAAAGTAAGAGGTTTATTTTCAATAAACTTTCCCGTGCAGCATCAGAAGGCCTCTTGCCAAAAAGCAAATGGCGGACCTCAGCATTGCGCAACCTGTGTTCCCACCAACTGTGACAAATAATCAGCTAGCACGAGTAGTCTAACACGGACAAGCGTTTAGTGCATTCACCGCAACCTGATCAGGTCTGTGATCCGTACAATAACACCGGCCTTACCAGAGCACTGTACACTCGATCTTTCACTGGTGAGCTGATATCCTGCCGTTTCCATAGACGGTTGATTCTCTGGAAAGCCAGACTGGGCTTGATGATACGCGAAGTAACCACCCCATTGCTATGGCCACCAGAGGTGACACAGCCACCAACGCAAGTGAACCGATTCACCACTTCCGGTGGCTGTTCGGTGAAAACTAGAACCGGAAGTGTGTCGGTCCAGTCCTCGAATCCCAGGCCACACCAGCAGAGCAATTCAAAGCAGATTTACAAGATCTGGTTTCAGACTACCCTCTTTATGGCCACATCACTACGCCCACCAGATTCAGGGGTACTGACAGGCCATCCATTTTGGACCGAATATTCACCAATGAAGAATTAATGGTCGTGAGAGTGATAACCGATACTCCTTTGGGCCGCAGTGATCATGCGACGCTATTGTTTCATTACATGTGCTACGCAGATTGTCCTAAAGAACATGCCGAGGAATATCGTGTCGTAACCAACTATGAAGACCTGTCCGACCTAATTGATGCAACCAGCTGGTCGTTCTTAGCTGAATTAACCCCTGAGGTGGCCTGCGGTGAATTCGTCAACATATTCACCAAGCTCGTGGCAAGGACATCTGAAACCAAACGCTACCGGACCAAAAGGATGAAGTCTTTCGTAAGGAGCAGGACACGTAAGTGCATGGCATTAAGGGACTTGGCATGGCACACCTATATAGCCTCCCGAACGATCATACCTGGGATGTCTACACAATACACAGGAACCACTGTGTCAAACTCGTCGAGAGGATAAACTTAAGAACCAACAAGGTCTAGTGGAAAAGTTTAGCTCCAATCCCAAACTGCTATACAGACACGTAAACAATTTGCGCCGTGTTAAGCGCGGTATTCCTGCCCTGCACACAGCATGCGGCTTAGCCCAAACCGCACAAGAGGCAGCCAACGTCCTTGGACAACAATTTGGCCGTACCTTCCAAAGCGAGCAATCACCATACATCCTGCCTAAGCAGATAACGCCGCCATCAGGGCTAATCACATATCGTTTACCTCCGTAGATATATTGAAGAGGATGATGTCTCTGCGCGAGTTCAGCTCCCGGGTGCCGACGGCATTCGACCGAAGGCGTTGAAAGTTGCTGCCATGAGTTTGGCAGGACCATTAGCAATTTTCTTTCAACGATGTATGAACGAGATGCACGTCCCCACGATGTGGAAGCACGGAATCATCACGCCTATCTACAAAAGTGGCAGTCGTGCTGATCCAGCAAATTATCGCCCGATAACACTCATTCCTGCGATCTCCAAGGTTATGAAGTCCATTGTAGATGAGGCTATAATGGGGTACCTGGAGAACAACCAAATTCTTGTTCCGGAACAGCGTGCATTTCGCTAAAATCACTCCTGTAAAACTAATCTCTTGATTGCTCGTGCAAACTGGACGGAATCTGTGGACGCTGATGTCGGAGTCGACGCGGCCTACTTGGATTTCTCAAAGGCATTCGACCGCATAGACCATCGCATTCTCCTCCACAAACTTCAGAAATATGGAATCGGCGATCCTGTTCTGGGCTGGATAGGAGACTTTCTCGTGCAACGTCACCTGAATGTTAGGGTTAGAAGCAACCTATCAGAATCCATCGAAGTTCAGTGCGGCGTACCTCAAGGCTCGGTACTTGGACCCCGCCTGTTCCTGGTCTTCATAAATGATCTCGCGAGTGTGCTATCTTCTAACTGTTTGCTATTTGCTGATGACCTAA